CACATCAAAAGGCTTCACAGATTATTTGCTTTGTCAGTGAGCTGTAAAAAATCTCCAAGGTGAGTGGGAAAAGGCAGTTAAATAAGGGAAGAAGAAAGAATATGGTCAGATTATAAATTATAAACATTTCCAAATGTTCAAAAATGCTATGAGATGCTTTAAAATTTCCTGAATCTTCATTATAAACACTGGCCACTTGGCTAACATTTGACCAGTTTTCAGTGATAGCAGACTACTTACTATGATGGCCAACAGTGTCCTTGTTGAGGATAAAAACAAGCTTTACAAAAAAACACTTTTACCAGTAAGTTTTAAGGGCTGTCAACCCTCATCCACTGAATCTAGAGCAGATGGTGATGTGTTTATTTACATGGCGTACATGCTGGACTTCTTTCTTGGAGACCGTAGATGAGTTATTGTTTTTCTATAAAAATTGAAATGCTAATTTAATGCTAGCTATAAAATACATGGATACATTTAATCAAATGCGTTAGGCTCTGGAATAGAAACATTCAGCAATTCATCCTGAAGCGATGTGATCATAAGTTTACAAATTGCAGCCATGTAGATCAGTTCATTAATTCAGCTATCATTTTATCCATCCATCAATGCATCCTCCCATCCATTCATCCCTGCGTCTATGCGGTGGACCAGTGGAAGCAGGTCCTGACAGGCTCCTGAAGACAGGGTGATAATTTCCAGACCATCATGCATTCACGCAAGTAACAGCTTGCCTGCTGCAAACTCGCTTAACTGTCCAAATATCAAATACATTATGCAGACACACAGAGACACAGAATTGACCTACAGTATGCAATACCCATTCATAATGTCTAAACTGGACTTTTATACAGTCTGCTACTATATGGGATTCAAATCAGTATAGAAAATCTCCCACATTTTCTTCGACATCGTGGTAGTTGTTGTTTGTCAGTGTCTATGAGAGTTGGAAAAATAAGGAAAGACTGAGAGACTTCTCTGTAGTTAAAGGTCTCACTTGGAATGACGCCTCAAATATCAATGAATCAGAAATTCACTGGAAATGTTCTTCTCTTTTTTCCACTGTTAGAATTAAGAGGAAACATTTGGGCCACTTAAGATAAGAAAACCATTATTTTAAGCCTTTCAACCTGCTGCCAGATTATAAACTGGAGTGAGTATTGCAGTACAGCATACTCAAACCTTAATGTGAGAGTAGGTTAAATACAATCACATGAACTGATATTCACTATACTCTCTAGCATGCATTTACAGTACTGGAGGCTGTAAAAGTTCAATCTTTGAGACAGGAAGGAATATACACAGTAACAGCAGAATATAGTGGAGTTGAACCTATTCGTATCCCATGGTCCAGAATATTTCCTGAACAGTGTTGATACTGGACCAGGTTTATTGTTACACAGGAATGAAATGAGTTAAGGTATCAATCCTGGGGGATGTTTTGCTATGCTATGCTATTGGGTGACTAGAAAAAGCACTTGCATTTGAAGTATAACTTGATATGAATCATGCAAAGTCCCTCATATCATTATGAACAAATTCATGTATTTGCCAGTGTGTGTCACAGCTAATACACACCTGAGCACTGAAATACGTGTGAAAAATCTTCTCGCCTGTGTCTTCCCGGATCTGATGCTTGGCAGGAAGGCCACTGGTGATGTGGCTGTGGATGATGCATGGGGAAAAGAGGAGAATGATGCATTGTGCAGGGCGTGTTAGGACCTGTGTTCTAACGGAGAAAGGCTAATAGCTGGGAAGAGCAGCTTTTGACAAGCCGCTGTGTAGTGCATGCTTGAACCTGCACTCTCGCTGCATCACACCTCCTCCCACTTCTGACACATACTGTATGCACACACACATGCACACATATACATAAATTGAAGTCTGAGTGCATGGAAAGAGGTCTTATTATTTGACATGGTCTAGGTGTTAGATCTCATTTCCAGTCACTGAGACACTTGTTCGCGTCCAAGCCAAGGAGTCATCATAAAGGGACAGGAGAACAGCAGAGTTTCAGAGCTATTATCACTAATGCATGGTGTCTTAATGGCACAGAAGGGGGACTAGAGGATTACCAGACTATCTTACCATGAGCTGGATGGATTTAGCTGTATGTGGAAACATTATGATAAATAGAAAAAAAGGACTGCTTTTGATTTGGGAAGTGGATGTGGACTGACTTGGTAGCCAGTTGTGTGCAGCTACAGCTCTAACCTCCCAGCAATCATTCAGTCTACTTCAGAAGAGGGCAGTTAACCAAAAATGCTTGATGCAATAGGCAACTACAGCACCTTTCTCGTAATCTCCCAAAGCACCGCATGCCATCCGCTCTTAGTGGAAAGCGAAGGGGTGGACAAGGGGAGCGGCTAGCTAAGTGATCATAGTCAATATGCCCTGGCATTCCCCGCTGCCTGAGGCCATAAAAAGCCAACTGTTAACTCTTTCATTCATACCAAGTAACTCAGTCTGGCCCACATAGTCATCCATTTTTCAAGCATGTTCAAACTGGGCCTTATACTTAACTTTGCATAAATACATACACCCACATGTTCATGCACATGAGACACACACAAATCCTTACATGCCCTAGTGTTATTTTTGGGGATTCCCCTCACACTAGCAAAAACGCATTCATTCCAAGTGGCTTGACTGTAATCTCGTCTTTTCAAAACTAACACTTCTAAAGTTTATGTACAAGAGTTTTCTTGGTTTGTTTTTTCTGCAAAACATGAATAAACTGCTGTGTGCAAGAAAATCTTTTACAGGATAGCAGTGGTATGTACACTACATACTACAGATTGCTACAGTATGTATGCTACATGTATGTAGTGTATTTTTATACAGGTGGTCAGTTTTATCATATAGTATCCCTCAGGATCATACATTCTTTGCCAATCAGGCTGATAAGGTAAAAACAAAGCATTACAGTAAACTCTCTCCTAATCCCTCCTGTTTAATGGCTCTCTAAATCTGAATAATCACAGGCTTCCTCCCTTTTTATGCTGCCTCAGTGTCTCCATCTTAAGCTGTGTGCCACTGAAAACGGCTTTCTACTTTCCTGGTAACAAAATATTATTGAGGCATTGTTGATCAAATTTTTTGTCTCTCTTAATAAAGTGGGGATTATATGCAAATTAAAGGCAATAAGAGGAGTTGAATTTGTCACAAAAAGCCAGACGGGCTGCATGGTGGTGTAGTGAGTAGAGGTGCTGAAGACCTGTTGGCAGATGCGCTTTTATTCAGAGTAAAATTATATTTGGGGATTACTAGATTTTTTTGAGTTGATGTATTTTCTTAATCTAGTTAATAGGAACATTCCAAACTGTAAACTAATGAGCTGTCAGGGAGAATAAGAACGATTTGTTAATTTTTAGGGAATAGTATTAGGTATTACATTAAAGCAAGCAGTCTGAAACTGGTTTTTACCATATTTCAGGCTTTCATTTCATTGCTGTAATTCCTCAGATAAAAGAGTGATACATACTTTTGCCCATGTTTTCTTTAGTTCCTGTCAGTGTAGTTTGGCTATGAGAACGACCTGAGTCAGAGAATGGAAGTGAAAGAAAGGAGTTGACAGACATATTTTAAGGAGAGGACATGGTGAAACTTTAGACGCTAGAGGTGACAGCCATGAGTGTGTTTGTGTGTTAAAACTGGAGGAAGAAAGAGACAGAGAAAGAAAAGCAGCAGGTCAAAGATCACTGCTCTAATGTCCAGAGGTGGGTCGTTTTACATCACTGAAGATTAAGTAAAGGAGCTAAGCATGCAAGGTTTCTTCCAGCAAACCCTGCTGGTCACATAGAGACAATCACAGGCCTAAATGCTCACAGACACACACACACATACACACAGTGTGAAGGAAGTGCAGTTTGTCTCTCTCCATTGTTTCAGGCAGGTCAACTGTGTGACAGTCGGAGGTGACAACTTTCCAATAGGAGACTTCTTATCAGGTCATGACAAATTACAAAGCTCCAATTTCACCTGTCTCTCACCACCATCACATCACAAGGCCCTTGTGTGTTTACTCATGAAACTTTTTTTGTTTATTCTTTACTCCAAAATAATAAAATGTATCATGTGATTGGCGCGCTACTATTACTGCAGTTTTTTATCTGTATATTTATTACTGTTACATTCTGTGTAATTGTGCAAAACTAAGGAAAGCATGTTTCAACATGGGTGAGAAACAAGTCCCATGCTTACTATTTGCCATGTTACAGCTGATATACTGTATAATAGCCTGTTCCATATTTTTGTCATTATAACTGTAATAATACATTATTATTCTTATTATTGCAATGTATGCTTGAGCTCACATTGATACGTTGACCTCAGATAATGAGGGAATACATGATGCAACAATTACTGGATATTACATTATAGTCACTGTAGATAAATCAGGAACTGTCAATAACTTCTCAAATGAATACTGAGCCAGGTGCTTTACAAGACAAAATGGACTCAAAAACCAAAACATTCAGAGTGAAACATTATTTTCTTGTCATGTACTGAGTGTGATTTGCCTAAAAAGACAAACACACATGTACATGTCAAAGCCATGCACCAAACTGTCCTTGGTGCCTGAGTACAAGAGTTCAGTAGAGAACAAGATGAATCACTGAATGATCCACTGCTTTCTCTTGGATGCAACACACCTGGATGTGTGTTGATTTGAGTGAGTGTGTGTGTATGCATGTGAAAGGGTGCCTTTGTGTGTATGTACAAGAAAGTTGCTGAGCAAGACAAGGAGCCAGAAAGAGAGAGAGAAAAAAATAACATGAAAACAAGTTTCAGCACATGCACACTTTCTGCAGTGCACTACAAGAAAATGTGTACTCACGGTCCAAGTTGCAGACTTGGCGGTGCTGGACTGCTGGAAGGACACCTGGAAAGCGTGCGGCCCAGGGTAGTCAGTGTTGGAGGGGATGGCCGGGGCAGGCGACAGGCCCTCAAAGGTAGAGTTGGGCTGGGAGTAGGGAGAGGGGGTGGGCACGGCCGACGAGGGGGCGTTCTCCGAGCTGTAGGGGCTGGCGGACGTCGCACGGCTCCCCAGGCTCTCCATGCTGCTGCTCAGCAAGTTGTACTGGGACTGGGAAAAGAAAAGAAGAGGAAAGAGCATGAGGGAGGCAAAGACAGAGGGAGGAGGGACGTAAAGGGAGGACACAGGTAGAGGTGCAGGAGAGACAGGGGCTTGGACGCTTAAAGTGAGGTCGGATTACACTGGGAAGGCAGAGCTGAGGGTGGTGTGTGAGGTTGCATGTGTGTGGATGTATAGATTTAATTGTCTAGGTAGTTCTTCATGATCAACGTTGAGCACTTTTTGTGCGATTTCTATATAAAATAATTGAGACTGGTGGTAAAATTATCATAAGCTAAGGACAACAATGGTGTGTGTGTAATTGGGAGGCGGTTACAGTGAGGTTCCAGTAGTAGCACCTTGGGGCTATATGAGGTGAGTTGTAAAACATGTGTAATCTGTGCTCTACCTAATTGCCTGCCATTCCCCCCTTGTCCTCTCCTCTGTGTTTGATAAGAGAGGGAAGATTTGTTGCACTGAGGCATGTGTGGTGACACACTTGTCAAAGTTAACGCACTCCATGAGTCCCATATATAGTTGTAGGCAAACTGAGAAACCACTGTACAACGGCTTTGTGGCCCACGTTCATTTGTTGGTTCCCTGCCACACTACTTAGCAAAAACAGAAAATACAAAAAGCCAACTACAGTAAGTCCACCTGTCCACCTTCTTGTCATCATGTCACCTACTTTTTTTTTTAACAGCAGTGACTCCATATAACTATAATATTTGAAACAGCAGTCCAACCTACCAGGCACCAGTTCTGATTAATTTAACTGACATGTAACAATATGAAAACAAAACACAGCAATATAACAGGTTCATCCATGTTTCCTACTATGCATACGAATGTTAAATATTATGGCACCTTATTGCAAGTTCACACTGAAACAGCCACAGCATTGCACATACACACACAAAATTACCCTCTGAACAGAAAAAACTCCCAAAACATTTACCTTCTTTTTCACGTAGTACATCCTTTAGTGCTTTGGTCTCATATCAACTCTTCAGTCAGAAATGTCCAAGCATCGCGAAGCAAGAAGAGATCATAGCCTAACCAGAGAGTTCAAGTGAGGTGTGCATCAGTGGACACACCACTCACACACACACACAGACACAGGTACAGCCAGGACAGGGAAAAAGGTGAGGACTTGTATGGAGAGAGAAAAACGATAGACTGAGATGAGGGGAGAGAAGGAGAGAGGAAAAGCGGGATGGGAACCCAAAAAATGGTACGACGTTCTAATTATGGCATGCCTGGACATAGACAGCAATGCCGGGGCGCATGTATACACATGCTCCAAAACACCTTGTGAAGGCCTGCCCTAAGTAAACACTGTCTGGTCTCAGGGAAAAGGAGAGTGTGCAAGAGGCAGAGAAAGAGAGAGAGAGGCAAGAAGGAAAACACATGAAGGAGCAAAAGTTCAAAGGTCAGACCCCAATACTCAGTATTGTACATCAATACAGCATTAAATCAACAGTCAGGGCTGAACAGTTTTAAAAAGAGAGACTCTTCAACACAACTGGACATGCAGCAAAACAAATCGCCAGCACAACACATCATATAGAAAACAGCTATGTTCAAAACAACTAATTTCATAAGCAAAACTTACTTTTACTGGATTTCAAATATGAGGATAAGTTTTTTTTCCTTTGTAATCAGCTGACTAGATGTCTGAGTTTTTGAGTGTTAAAAAAGGAATCTGAACAAGACACAAAAGGCTATAGGAAATTACAGTGGACCGTTTTTACTAGAAAACAATTGGCAGATTAATCAATAATGGGGAAAAAGTTTGAAGCATCCTTAATCAAATGTCTAAAAATGTCTCTATGGCAGTGGAGAAGAGGATGGTGGTTGAATTTGTTGAGATACAAATGTGTCCACTCTCACAGAAATTAAAAAAAGGAAAGTTCGTATTTAGCCTGGCATGTTCTTTCATACCAATCTGATCTCCTTATAGTCCACCCTGTTCTTTTAAGCACTCCTGTCTGTCCTGAAAGTTAAAAAGAAGTCTGTGGGCTGCAGGGCCTTTTACTGTTGTGCCCTGTTCCTCTAGAATAGCCTTCCCTCTCAAATCTGACAATCTGACTTAGTTGAGGCCTTTAAATCCAAATTTAAAACTCATCTTTACACATTCATTTTCAGTGGCTTATTCTTTAACCATCTTAGACATTTTACCTGTTATAATTTCCCCGATTGGTCTCAGTTTTTATGATGAAATTACTGTAAACTTTCTGAAGACTGCTGCATTTCTGTAACTCTTGGATTGTTCCACCAAGCGAGCTTCCCCCCCCACTTCCTGTCCTCTCTTTTCACTCTCTGTGCTGGTCCATCAGCACAAGTCCCCCGACTGTCAGTGCCTCGGCTCCAAATATTTTAGATTTGGGTCTTTGATCCAGGAGTCCCACCTTCCTCCTTGTCAATCTCCCTCTCCCTTCTGTTCATGTTGTCCTTGTGTCTCTCTTCTTCTCTGTGTTCATTTCCTTCTCTCAGGTGTGAATGACATGCTCAGGTTTAATCTCTAGTGTGTTTGTTTCCATGACTTGTTTTCTTTCCAGGACTTTCCAGGCCCTTGGTAGTTGCTCAGTGTCCTCTCAGATCATGTTCTTCAGATATATTTATAATCTGTTACGCTGTCATCCTGATTGTCCATACTGGAAATCTACTATGTGCTCTATTCTGTACACATCTGTTTGTCCTAGAAGAGGGATCCTTCCTCTGTTGCTCTTCTTGAGGTTTCTTCCAAAGGGTATTTGGAAGCATGGCCATGCTGTACAATTTGTAAAGCCCCTTGAAGCTATACAAATAAAATTGGACTATTCTGATGTGCACTGATATTCTTTTTCTCATGATGGGAGTGATTTTGTCCTGCCTCTGATATCTGACAGTTGACTACCTTTCTCTAGCAGTTATTGTCAATGGGGCTGCACAGGCTAAGTCCAGGTGTATGTGTCAACAGTCACACACACACACACACACACACACACACACACACATATATACACACACTGTCACACAGACATGCTTGGTCTTAATACCTAAACTTGATCTGCAACAAGTTGAAACAGAGCTAAAGCCTCTGCTGCTTCTGTATGAGCAACTGTGTGTGTGTTTGCTGTGTCTAAGTGTTTAAGCTTCCCATCCCAAAAGCATCTGATGTCCCCTGTGGGCAGCCAACCTGGTAGCTGCCACTTAAAACCGAGCTTTAAAAGCTCAAAACATTTAGAAATCTAGATAAGACAGCCACAAAAACCCTCACTTGTCAAGATGAGTGAAGCATAATAGGCCTAACCCTAACTCAGGGATAAGAGAGTGTCACCGTGCTAATGCCCTCTGTTTACAGCCACTGATTAAACTAAACCCTATAGTCTTATTTAACAACACAGACACTTTAATGCACACACATTCACATGTTGTCATGTGACCAAATAAAGAAACTGCTTGACCAAAATAAATGTTAGGCTACATTCACTAAATGAATGGCATGGCATTATATGAAAACTGGTGTATGTCTAAATAACACCATGTTAAATAGTGGTGAGGATGAGAGGACTGGAGGTAAACTGTGGAGTGATGTGTAGGAAGGTTGCCTCCTGTTGGGAATAGTTGGCAATGTGGAGGAACAGGATATTCTGTTCATTCACCAGAGGTCCACATTCATGCCAACCTGTAGAATACATATATATTTTTATAATACTCAGGTGAATAGTGAATTATTACTATAACATCCTCAAAGTTCATTCATTCTTCAATACTTCATAGAAGAAGAGGAAGATTTAAAATCAAGTTACCAGTTGCATCTTGTGGTTGGATCAAAATGTATCAGTATTTCAGTGGCCTGTGGTCTGTATTTCCACATGAATCAAACATAATGTAACAGCGATCACACTAGCCCCAGTATGTTAGAACAAATATTAGATTGTTGTATTATTGTAGTCAGGATATTGTAGCCAGGGCCACTTATGCATCCATATAAAATACAAGAGAACACAAGCCCGACTTTCAAGTATCAACTCACTCGCAAGCAGCATTAACTTAGAAAGAACACAATCACTCTTTCATCTGTTCGATTGCCACTTATTGGAAACAGTGACCCTAAAGTAAGACTCATCAAAATTACATACTATAAGTTTTACACCTACGAAAGCCATTCTCACTACCACACCAGTAAGATACAGTTTTCAAACATTAAAGAGTCCTGAATATGCCGGAACAGAAAAAGTTTTTTCTCATCCACTTACCACACCACACAGCATCTCACAGCTCCTGAAAGATAAGATGTGGTGTTTCTACGATGTCTTTGTGCCCAAGATCTCATGTGTGACTGTAAGAGTCGAGCTTTCTGCGGCCAGCTGACCCCTCTGTGGAACATGACATGATGGAGGATGCAGGAGATGCCCTGTCTCTCTTCTCTTCCACTTGTTTCTCTTGCCTGACTGGGCCTTCTCAACCTGCCTTGCATCTAACAACAAATTTTCACTCCGCCCCCTTTTTCTCTGTCATGACTATTCATTAACGGGCCAGGCAGGCTCAGGCTTGCCCTCTAGAAGATTAGATCCTACCATCCTACCAATATTTCAGATCACAGGGTGAAGGAAACAGTCTGAGTGACTTCTGATTTCCTGTTTACAAAGACAGATGGGCAGAGTGAACAAGTGTGCACAATGAACTGTGGTCCTGAAAAAATATTGTTATTGACTATCAAAAGAAGAATTATATTCTCCTGTGTGGACTCATAATTTTTTTTCGCTATTAAATTCTTTTCAGGAACATTCATGAATGAAAACTGGGCTATTTATCATCACTCAAGAAAAGAAGTTTCATTCCAGCAAGAAAAATGTGTAGGTGCATACACCTGCAAATGGATGTGCAGGTTTGTTAATGCCCACACACTCAATAGCCTACAGATGGCTCTACAGTACAGCAGCAAGGGCTCTTGGCTTAGGGTTTAATTAGCACTCCCCCACCACACACACACATATCCTTGTTTTTGTCATTTAGCAAGTCCCTACATAGACTTGCATTAATTTCCAGGAGACTTACCTTAACCATAACCACTGCTTACCTTACTCTAACCCTTAACCTTTAAAAAGGATGGTGACACTTGCTTTGAACTTACACCTTGTTATTTTTGCAAAATTGGACAAAATACACCATGGCAACCAGCTTTCGGTCCCCACAAGTGATGCCAGTCCTGGCAAAGCTAGTGTGCTCCCGGTTGTCCATCCCAACAAGTATAGAAAAACAAGGCCACACACACACACACACACACACACACACACAGCACCACCACCATCACCACCTCATAGTCCCAAGAGGGTGCTCAGTAGGGAGACAGAGAGGGAAAAATCTGCAGAGGAGAGGGAATCTACATAGGAGGGAATCTCCTCAACACTGGAGGGAAAAAGTGAAAGGACACAACAAAGAAGTTGTATGTGTGTGTGTGTGTGTGTGTGTGTATACACACAGGCAAGCCATTAGATATAATACTGAGGAGAAAAACACCCTTCATGACAGGAATAAGTTGCAGCCTCTTAAAAGGAAAAAGCATAGACTGATTACAAAGCTACAAACTGAACTGCCTTGAGCGCTCATGTTCTTACCATCACATTGTCGTTCATGTCCCTCATGTGGTAGACATCCATGGACACCTCAGCAGCACTGTGGTGGCTCCCTGGGGTACTGGCAGAAGGCACTGGCCTCTCACCTGGCTGACTGCCTGGGGGGAGCTCAAAGTAGGTGCTGTCTGGCTCCCTTTGAACACAAAATGGCATGAATACAAGTCAATTAAAAAGGAATGAGTTTTAAAAATATCATAGCATAAGTGGGTCTCTATGTCCAGCAATATTTTTTTAAATATCTGAATATTTTAAAAGGATAGGGAAATGTATAATGTGTAATGATAGTAGAGATGCACCGATTGCAATTTTCTTGGTTGATTTAGATTTCCTAATTTTTAAAGTGTGACCTGCTGATAATTGGTAATTGACAGCACACACATTTTTTGTAACCTTTCTTTAATGAAAAATTAAATTGTAATAAGAATAGAACATTTATTAATGTTTTAATTTTTTTTTTATTTACAAACCTCCAACTAAAAATTAAGTGCAATATTTGTACTTCTGCAAATGTCCCTGGTAGGCTAGTGGTTAAGGCGCAGTGCTCTCGCCACTGCGGCCCGGGTTCGAGTTAGGGTTGCGTCAGGAAGGGCATCTGGTGTAACGCACGTGCCAAATGTCAACATGCAAGTCGTCAGTGTGATGATTCACTGTGGCGACCCCTAAACAGAAAAAACTAAAAGTGACTTTCTATTTGTACTTCTCCAAATATAAACAGGTGCAACAGGTAATAGAAACAGGGGATCAGTCCTACTGAACACATAGTTCTTTTTGAAGTGTGTGTAGTTTGTATTTGCCATGTTTTACTACAGGTTGGATACAATGTACATATATGTATTTCATTGTGTACTATTTGTTGGAACTTTGGACATAATTTTCCTTTTTCTGTGGTGTTTCTGTAGCTCCTCTCTGTGCTTTATGTACACCAAGCACTTCCGATGTGAACACGCACCTGGTATAGACATGAGTGTGGGTCTCGCTCGAGGTTTACATGAGATGCTATGCACTGTGTGCGTGACCTGTATTGTGCCTGTAAATCTGAGTGGCACAGAATCGGATATCTCAGAGTGATCATCGGTCATCGGTCCAGGCCAGTCACGCTGAAAACCGGCCATTTCCAATCTCTGCCTGTCGATTGGTGCATCTCTGAATGATAGCTAAAATAAATGCTTGATCACTTTGATATTTTTTGTTGTTAAAAAATTGCAAGTATTGTGGGACTGCATATTTCCTAATGTCATTTTCCCAAGTACATAGGCTACACAAAAAGAGAAAAGCCTTAGTAATCTGTTGGAACGGGTAGCCTCAACCCAATTCAGGTGGCATGAGACCCTTTCCAACACTTAGCCAATAACATAAAAAAAACAACAACAGCAACTGAGTCTTCCAGAGTCCAGTGCAAAAGATTTCATTGTGCTCTCTCTAATTTGCATAACCATGTTAGTCCCATAGGAGCAACTGACTTGAGCCTTGCAGAGCTCTCTCTTAAATACTCATTCTAACTCCTCCTTATGTGGAGCCTAAAAACCTGACTCCTCCTCACTTCTCAAACCCCCTAAATCTGACTAAGGATGGAAATAAATGTGCATTATGCCTGGGCCTGTCTGGACACGTTTCTCTCCTGCCTGACACAGTTATTTCCAGTTCCTCAAAACCATTAAAAAAAAAAAAGTACTTATTGAATTCATACATTTTGAATACAGTCACATGATTTTTGTTACACATTGTTTACCTATAAGTTTTGATTAACCATAGTTACTTTCTTATTGTAACACTGAGTACTCCTTTTATCCACAACATGAAAATGACATCACATCGTGTTGAATTTTGGGTAAATGTGCCATGTTTGGAGGATCATTCTCATCACATCCAATCGATCATATATATGCACTATATAGATCTATAAGTTAATTTAAAAAAATAAATGCTATGCCATACAGCCAAATACAGTAGCTGATGCCTCAACTACATCCAAATGTCCACTTTAGTGACTTTTGTGATCAGTTTTAGCACAGACAAGACAGAAGCCCATTATTTACAGTGTTTGTGTTGACATCTGCTGACACCTGCTATCTAGCATTACTGACAGGAACAGACTGATTACAGTAATATCCACACACTGTTCACTCGAATTCCATGGCCTCTCATCATAGCCAGAGATAATATTTTTACAACAAAGCAAACTGAGAACCCAGATTGGTGTGCAGAGTCATTTTTAGCCTGTCACTCTCATCAATGAAATCGCAAGGTCTGCTCCAAGTTAGCTACAGTTAAATAAGGTTAACCATCCTGAAATACCACAGTAAGATAAGTGAGATCTCTTCATGACTCAATGTGGCTAAAACCCACCGCATATGACTGAATAAAATAATCACACTGCTCAATGTTTCTAAAATATTTTTCTTAGATGGGCCATAAATAAAAGTGTGATTCTTGCTAGTATGACTGACACAGTCTGAAGGCATATGATTTAGCACATCTTGCACTACTGCAAAACTGTTCATGAGCTTTCAAGGATTTATAACTTAACTTCAGGTAAAGTGTATGCACTCAGTGCCAAAATCATGATAATTTAGAATGTCAAGGTAGGTGAGTGGAAATAGAGCATCAGGGTTTGTAATCAAGCTATCTGTCGTTGTGCTGTGTATGGGGCGCAGAGAGTTCAGGTAAAAAAAGACAATTCTGGCTCAGTCTGTTATTCCAGCATTGATGAATTACACCTACTGTGGTATTTAAAGGTTTGTATGGAAAAATGTCTTTGTAAAATGCAGTGAGGAAAACAGAGACTAGCCCCATTTACAAAGAACCTGAGTTGAAAAAATATTTATTCCAATTTTGTTTTCTGTGCAGAAACAATCAAATGCACAAAGGAAAGAGATATTTGTGTTTGGCTCAGATTTTTCTCCTTTTGATTATTGTACATCATAAGTGAAATATAAATATTTAAACATTTTCAAAATGTTATCCAGCATAAAAAGACACTGTTATAAAGATTGTGTAATTAAAGTTAAAGTGTTAGGCTTCAACTATAAAACACAGTCTAAATTAGTATTAAAGTAGGAATAATCCTAACCCAGTTTCTTTAAAAAATGTTGGTTGATGACAGAATGTCTTTTGTAATAATCATGTGATACATTTTTGCATTTCTACATCGGATGATTTGGAAAATATATTATCCATCAGCAAGGGGTGACACTTACAAGGAGCTCCACAGGTGCTCGAAGGTGCCTCCTTCTTCGGTGACAGTGGACTGGGACATCTTAGAGGACAGGCAGTCTGGTGAGGGGTAGATCACTCTGCAGAACACGCACACATACAGGCATTCACGAGCATGAACACACACACACACACACACACACACACACACACACATACATATACATATACATATACAAAGAGAGAGAGAGACTTTTAACATGTTAAAAGATAGAAAGAGAGAGAGAGAAAGAGAGAGACTTTTAACATGTTAAAAGGGTACAAGTGAAAACAGCTTACATTGCCATTTTATTCATATTCAAAACGTAGAAGTAGCTTAAACTACACACACACACACCCACACACACCCACACCCCTCCAGGTGTGATCACACCAATGTAGTCCCAATGGGTTGGCACGGAGTGTCAGGGAGCCTGGGCGTGCCCAGACCTGCCCGCCTCATCACCGTCTAACTAACTCTGAGGAGAAGCTTCCTTCCCCTCCAAAAAGCCACAAACATCACCCCCTCCGCCTCTCTCTCAAAATACCACAGCCCGTAGGCTACTGTAGCCCTAAATGTGTTCTGATGTTATGGGCTTAGTACAAATAGTGCGCGTAGCTCCTGTGAATGGTATAAGTAGGCTATATTTAGGTCTAACTTTGTAGATTTATCACAGCTCCATTAAATAGGCTATGCTACCTGAAAACCTGTTCTTTTACGTCGACAGGGCTGATGACAGTGGTCGCCTGTTTGCGAGAGTTTGAGTTAGAAATAGCCTAATATAAGGTTAGATCAGCATAACTTGAACACCAATTGGAGCGTATGCCTACCCCGTGAAACTGATAAAGAGATGTCTCCAGTTTAGGCTATGCAGCTACTAATAATAAATCCAACGCAAAATCCCGACGGACATATTTGGTCGTACCAGATTTCCTATAGCCTATTCACAGTTGCGCACCACCGCAGCGTCGTATCTCCTTAGTAACCCCCTTGAAGGACTGTACAAGAAAAACTGTGGCAAAGGTGCTTTCAAGATGCAAGCTGCAGCAATGCATAAATTCAAATCCTTCCATTGGAATTAATGACTGTAACTTGGCTCCAGGCCTTTGTAGAGTTTTTCAACAAACTGACTGTATGCTATGTAAAAGTGACCCTGTGTGGATTGTTCCATAGTGTAACCTAATCGCTACACAACAGGGGTGTCCTCACACAGGCCTACCGAATTGATTTAAGATATGCAACTTAGTAAACAAGTACAGTGATATCACTTCTTGAGCAAAGGCCGTTTTTTTTCCAAGCAGACCAGCACACGCTGGGGCTTCTCTTAAGTTTAGGCTCATGGAACAGAATTACGCATTCGCTAACAGACATGCATAATTTGGTTTTGCGGAGCTCTGACGCAGCTGTGTGTCTGCATGTTCCCGCTGCTCCCGAGGTGGCTGCCGCCGCAGAAACCGACTCCAATTCCCAGGTCGTCCTGCAGCGCAGCCTTGTCAGGTCCCAGAGCAGCGCATGTGTTCGCGCAGGAGATCTGACAAAGCGTCACTGCAGGAGGAGCACCAGAAGCACAGCGTGTTGGCCTCAGAGCTCTGCTCCACACTTTGAGCAGCTTAATTGAGATTCCACCCGGACACAGAGGACTTTTTCACTTAGCCTCCACCACAGGGGAAGAACACCCTCTTATCTTAGCCTAATGATAATAACCAGATAATATTCTGGCTACAAGGCTTTAACTTCTTATTTATTGCGCTAGACCTAATATAAACAGTATAGGCCTCCAAGAACATTTGGTTCTAATTTTCTTTAAATAGAGGACAATCACGAATAAGCACTTAAAAAGATAAATAAATGGATTCTGACCTTCAGTCACATATTGGATTGTTTCTCAGTTTGAACCAGATATCTACACAGTTTGTGGTACCCTAAGCTTTGAATGGAATAGGCTATTGAATTACCATTATTTAACTATCACGCATTGGAATTAATTATTATGTATTTACATGTTCTACTACTATTTCATACACCAAGGGTGTTGCTGCACGCCGGTGTTATTTCTGTAAAGCACGGCCTCTGCTGGTTCTTTCTTTAAATGTCACACCATGCGTTTAAATTTGACGTTGTGCTTCTCTGAAATCCACCTGTCTCTGCTTTGTGTCTCCGCTCCTGGGTTACAGCACCCAAGACAACATACACAGTTATGTTTCCTTCCCAAGGGCCATTTTATGCAAGAAAATACACGGTCCCAACTGAGAAGAAATTAATTAAAAAATGGTTTTAGATTCGATCCTCCTTAGACCCAAATGAAGTGTTTTGTATGAGGATTTAAAGGACGATGGTGTCGTTGCTCGTTGAGTCACCGATATTTAGGCTATTGAAATACCAATATGAAAAAAGTAAAGCACTATAGTATTGTGTTCATATAAGCAAACCAGCTTTTTGTGAATGTTAAACAAAATGTCAAAACCCATCAACAGCTTTTCGATTTTTCTAGATATACAAATATAATTTGAAACTATTAAATTTAAAAAAAAAGTCGAAGTAGGAATAACAGTAGTTGTGTAGGCCTATATCGGGGTTATTTCTAAGCCAAACTTTTTATTTAGACAATTAATTTTATTATTAGGTCAGGGTTTTGTTATAGGCCTACTGTCTTAAGAATACCACAGGGCCTTAACAACACTGCCCAAACCACAATTTGCTGCAAAATCAAATAAACAGAATAGCTAGCATTTTAAAATCAAGAACCTTTTGAAAATATTTTGAGTCCTATCTATCCTTAGCCAATTCTCAAGACAACTGGTGCTTTCTTCTCAATACGCTTGCAAAACAAATGCCTCAGAGGCCTGCATGAAAAATATATTATACCAAATAAATATATACATCACTATCTTTATTATAGCCCATTAAAAATTTATCAACGTACCTGAAGGTTATTACTGTTCCAGTCCAAACACTCAGGAATTATGTTGCGCCGAGCACCTGCCTGCTTATTATCGAACATGCCAAGAGAGTGACCCTCCATAAAAAACCAGCAACAAAACAAAAATAACGACCGAATTTAGAGTATGATAACAGCGGTTGGAGATGATTGACTTTTCGGAGAAGCAACTGCGAGGAAACAGGAGGAAAACTGAATTGCATGCTATTAAGGGAAGCGTGAGCTTTGCTGAGGAGGTGGTGAAGCGGTTTTGCGCTGGAAGAAGCAGGGAGGCGGTAGCGCGGTTTGGACGCACACACGCGGGAAGCCTTGTCCAGCTCGGCAGAGGGTTGATGATGGGGAATGTTTAAAAAGTAGAAGTAACTGATATGCACTTAGACGACAAGACATTTTAAAACATAACCCACAGACTGTAAAACAAATATGACGGGAATAAAGTTTAGGCCATGGAATAATATAAAAATGGCTATTTTAAATGTAAAACAAATTTCAAAATTACCAGCTGATTAATCTGTGTTTGGATAAATATATATTTTTGTTTCTTGTCCTTTTAATGTGGTACACGCGGTCACGTTCACACAAGAAGAGAAAAAAAGAGAAAACACAATAAACAATAAACTACATTTCCCACAAGGCAGAGCGAATCTTATAAATACTGATTGGACAGCTTTGGCCTGTCGTCATCTGCTCACACAAACAAACTATTTAACAGTTCATTCGCCGCAGACAATGAGAAGAAAATGACTTTTCTAAACGGGTTCTAGGATTTCTTATGTCTGCCCTGACAAAACCAAAACACAATTGAATTTAAAAGTAAGTTATACCATTGATTGTGAAAATCGAAAAGTTTAACGTTAGCTCACTGCTAAGTTGCTAGTAGTATATGCTACCGTTGAATGAGTCCAGTGGCAACCAGCAGCTAACTTTATAGTTAGCATATAAATAGTGTTGGTTTCTCGCTCTCTAGTGGCTTAACGCTAGCTGCAGTATATTGGTTGGAAGTGACTAAAATGACAAATATATAGTGATTTCGACGTGTTTCACGTGTCGCTTTATTTTGCTTTGACCACCTCTTAATTGCGAGACGGGTAGCTAGGCTAACCTAGCTAGCTACCTGTAGCTTTGTCTGCTGAGGTTAGTTTGGAACAGACTTCGTTTCTGTTCACGCATGTACTCTCCCCATATAATAACTCTTTTTACATTTAAGAACTGTCTTGCTGACTTGACTTGTTGTCAAGAACTGTGTGTGTGTAATGTATGTTTTGTACTGTCTGAAGCCTATGTTCTTATTGGACTTGGACGACATCACGTGTTAATATTTGAAACTACACGAGTTGACACTGGTGATATGTCTGTTAAAACTGCAGGATTTCAGTGGGACTTGTTAAAAAAGTTGCCATAGTCATAATTTTTCCCTGTGCAGGAACAGTTTTGATCGTGACATGAATTTCTCTGAGCTCTTCAAGCAATCCAACCAACTTTGTAAAGTTTCTCCAGATGGGAAATATTTGGTAAGTAGTTTAGTTTTTTTAAAAACCTTGCATAGTGTTGTTTAATTTTGTTGCACAATTAGCATAATGCATAAGTAATACTTTTACTTTCCATTGTTAGGTTGCCTGTTACACTTAGATACAAGTTAAATAGGTTATAAGTCTTGCCTCTTTGGCTGTACTCCCCAGGCTACCTGTGTGCAGTACAGACTGGTGATACGGGATGTGAGCACCTTGCAGATTCTGCAGCTCTACACCTGCCTGGACCAGATAACCCACATGGAATGGGCTTCTGACTCTCTTTTTATTCTCTGCGCTATGTATAAGAGGGGACTGGTACAGGTAGGTTATGAACATGAGACAGTAATATGAGTATATGATTTGTGTAGTGCAAATGCTCAGTCATATACATGATGGGTTGCATTTGGTTTTATTCTGCTAGATTAATACTGTTAGTGGTGGTATGATTAATTGCTATTGTGATTGGCAGAAAATGTGTACTGTATTCTTGTCTTTATTCATAGAGTATCACTTCAAATGAAACACTTGAACTTTTGAAATATGAAGGCATTTCTTCAAACTCAAGAACCTGTGGTACTCATGCCTTTTAAAAAAATGTATTTTATGGATTAGGCAATTAAGGAAGTGATATAAAAATTAGTTCAATCAATAACAAAAAATGGTTTGTCACAGCATTAAAATGCTGTATTTATTATGCAGTATTGCTCAAGAAAAACATGAGCTCGACAAGTTATTGGTGTACTCAAAATTTGACAAAATGTTATGTGGTTTTAAAATGCATTTCCATATTTATTGCTCAGCACATGGGTTGTATGTGGTTTGTACATTCTGGTAGATTGGTAGAGAGAATAAAGCAGCCATGAATTAGGCTACATTAGTTAGACTGTTGTAAGTAAAGATATTCACATTCTGGGTATTAAAAGTTGCCAGTCTATATTTTCTAGAAAATAAATTTACATAGTTGCATCAAACAAATATTAAAATAAAGAAACAGTTTTAACCAAAAAAGTGTAAAAAAAAAAAAAAAAACTATCCTACATTACTGATAAATATTTTAAAGACAATTTAAACAACAGGACGGGGGTGTGCAATTTGTGTCTTCACTGGTAGTGTTTTGTTTGTAAATTTAAGTTTAAGGTAGGGGAGTTGCTTCATGTGTGTCCTGTTGTATACCAGTTGTTTTAGAAATGCCGAAATTATGATTTTGTTCTATTCTGCAAAATACCATCAATCATGTTACAGTCCTGTAGATAAATTTGCATACAGAAGTAAATCCAAATCTGTCTTCAAGCTTTTTTTAAGCTTTTTTTTCTCTTCTTTGAATTTATTTCACAAGGTATTCATTGTGGGTACAAGTTAAATTGCCATATTGTTTAGCAGTGTGTTAGCATTACTTGAACATCACACATAAGATGTAAAGTAATGCACACTAGAAATCTGAGACCCAGAGGCTGCTGTTTCAAGTGAAATTCACCATTTAACACAATAGAAAATTGTCTATTAAGTGTTTTTAACAGTAGCATTTATCATTGGTTAACACATTTTCCCTGAATAAAGAGATGTATATTATTTGATGATTAGAGAACCATTCTGTTTTGTCTTTCTTTTGCCTTTTAACTTATCTACACCAGGTTTTTTAATTTTGATTCACAGCATCACTTCTTTAATGATTCATTCATATTTATGGAAAACAGGAATACTACTTTTTGATTAATATCAGTTTAATGTGTATCACAATGCAAGTAACTTACCTTTGAAGGGGTATCCAGCGCCAGTCTTTCATGATTTCTGGTTCTCAAATGTTTCTCACTGTTTGAAACCAAGTTTACAGAGATACAGGATGCATATGAGGGAAATCATCAGTGATGGCTCATTGCTGTTCTTTTGTCACACTCCCTCTTCTTTGTCTTTTTGTTCAGGTGTGGTCTCTAGAACAGCCAGACTGGCACTGTAAGATTGATGAGGGCTCAATAGGACTAGTCTCCTCACGCTGGAGCCCAGATGGACGTCACATTCTCAACACCACTGAGTTCCATGTAAGTGTGAAGTTGGTACGTGTGTGTGCGTGTGCATTTATTGTCTGGTTTCAACTGTTGCTGGCCCACAAGGAAGGGGGTCCTGAAAATAGCCAGACACCAGAGCCTTTCTTGACTGCTCTACACCACCCCCCCACATATATTCAGCCTGAATTCATTGCTTGCCTCCTGTTGGCGTCCTGTCATACATGGGTCTCAAGTACCTCTGGAATGCGGGTGCAATGTGTATGTCCCCCTCTAGTGTAAGTGCCTTTAATGATGCTCTGTCGATCATAAGCATATAGCAGTAGCAAATTTAACAATAAAGGAAATACAGACAAAAACACCCAAACCAATAAAAGAATAGATATGAGGTAATAAAATAATTTTCAAATGAAAGCAGTCAATAACAAAAATTCCAACGGATTAAGTCGTCTTTTATTTTATTATCTTATAAAAATAGTTGTATTTGACTAAATGCAAAGATGTCAAACTGCAGCTCACATTTTGTAACCAACTAGAGAATGAAAATCTTATTTTGGTGTGACTTGCAGTATGTTATTTCTTTTAAATGGAAGTTTTGATTAAATTTCAGTTTGAAGTGTATAGCAGCAATCTGATTAATATTACAGCCAAATTAATAATATGCAGTTGAAATTTTGAAGTTGAATGTAACTTTACCTGAGATGGGCTGGTGGCACTTTTGGTCATCATGTCATTGTACATCAGGGAGTGTATTATAGCCCAAAGGGTACCGATTTGCTGTGGCTGTTGCCAATATTTGAGACTTTGAAAAATCTAATATTGATAGGTGAATATTCATTTTGCTTAAACACATAACATAAATATTTTTGCTAAAGATTTCTTAAATTATTACATTTTTTAAAGAATTGTGACCAAGGTATGTACTGGGTGCCACATTTTACAGTTGGACAATGAATTGGGTTACAAACTGTGTAATGGAAACACTTAGTAAATTATTTGAAACACATCTTAGACATTCACTGCAGTACTTTAGTGTACAGCAATATATGTATGATAACTAGTCATTGTAGTGGCATAGGCAAGGATGGAATATTGGGTTTTTGAGACTCTTGACCTTAAGATCTATATAGTACACAGCAGAAGTGTAGCAATGCAACCACCTCAGAATTTGGCTTGATACATAATTCTGGGCTTACAGTTCGATACAGTCAGGATAACTGTGAGAATGAAAACCAGTGTAACCAGTGTCAGTTATTTATTTCTTCTTAGGTATGTAAATTTGCACAAACAGTTTTCAGATATTTTCTTTCTTATTCAGGCATTTCCCTTATCCTCTAGTTTAGTTTGTTTAGTAACACATCTAACCTTTACATTGCACTGCGTATTATGTGGAATTTACTTCAGGTAAAAATAAATAAATAAAAAGTTTAACAATGATGACATTTTTATGATAATCCATGCCATGAAATCATATTAACCACTGTTGATCGCCGCCCTTATCACCTACATGACCAGTAACTTTAAGTACCCTCTACTGTTATTGATCATCCCGTTGAGGCTGTGTGTAGCAGAGGCAAAGTAGGCAGTTACTACCACATTGCCAAGGGGCACATTTGAACTTCCCTTCACCCCAGTCCAAGATTTCATTAAGGCAGTGCCAGGCCAGTGTTCATGTGACGCTTGAATTTCAGTCCCTCTTATAAACGGCCTTCTATATTAACTTGTTTTAGGGACAGCTACCTGTGGTAGTGATTGTGCCTTTGTATATGTGTTTGTCTGCCTTTGTGCTAGTAAATCTACTTAGCTGGCTGTGTGCTCATCAGTCACTCCTTAAAGGTTTCAAGATAGCACTGCTTTGTTTTTGCATGGGATATATTAAAAAAATCAGCTGTTGTAAAATATGGGATGGTGCCATGTCACGGATTTAATAGAAAGTCACATCACTGAAACCCAGCATCTGCATTGTGAGACTCAACACAAGTCATCTCCTATTTGAATTCTAATTGTTTATATTAGGACCTCACAAAATGCCACTCACATATCCTTCTTAATCCATCTTTACCAGCTGACGGGTGATAAACTGAGGGTGGGAAACTCCAGGCAGCGACATCACTGAACTTGACTTCCCTAATGTGTTTACGTTGTTGGGATTGGATTAGCAATAGCATTTTTGGCCAGTACTGCTGGAGTCCTGCTAACATGTAGCATTGTCGGCAACAACGCTGCTAGACTACACCTCAAACATAGGCAGCTGCTGCACTGCATCATGGGACAATAGCTCACCCATACCTACAGTATGTGTGGGCTGCCAGAAGCTCAGGTTCCTTGGTAGAATCATGAGGCTGTAACAGGAGAAATAGACTATATTGGTTTGAGATGACTTTCTATGTGGAATGCCTACAGTCTAATCCTTTGCTGACAGATAGGTCTATATTGCATCAGATACACTCACCCATTCTCTCTCTGTCACTTAGGCGTGCAACAAGAAGGGCTGAGAGGTAGATTTTATTGTAGTAACTTTAGTCTAGAGTTGATCCATAGTTGTCATGTTGCCCGCAGGCTGTCCTGTTGGCAACGTTTCCTAGTTCTGTGGTTTTCTTGTTATGAATACTTGCTAATAGATGACTAAATGGATATGCTAGGAGAATTTAGCCTCAATTGGCAAGGTCTTAAGTAGATTGTCTTATCATAACATGGCAGCTGAATTTTGTTTGTACAGCTCTTAATTGCAGCTACGTGATATGACAATAATTTGCATTTTAAAAAAAAGAACCGGAGGAAATGTCTCTTTAAGATGAAACCTTTAGCATGTAGTGATCAAAACAGTAAAATAAATGAATAAATAATGTAATTGTTTGTAATAATAGCCTGTACTTATCAGTTACAGTTATGCCAGCCATGGCACAGACAGGAACTTTTCCATCTTTGATGGTTAAATAATAGCTGTTGTAGTGAAGCTTTGCCTTTTCACACCAATGTCAAGAGTTCAGCCTCTATCGCTGAGCTGCTGCTCACCTTTGGTGAGGATATTTCACCTAAAGTATAGCTTTAGCAGCTAAGGATCCCCTACCCCTCCTCCACCCAGTTTAAAGTTACTCTGCCTTTCAGGTCTTGATCTCTGTGCATCTGCTATGTGGTGCGTTCAAGGCATCCAAGAAGTGTTTGAGCAGTGTTGTTACTGGTTGCCATGGCACTATGTCTGAGGGGATGTCCAGAAAGCGTGTAGTGAGGTGTTATTACATGGCTCACACAGCTGGATGTCTTGACCAAACTGGACAGTTGACAATTTAGGCCTGTTAGGTGACAGACTTGGCCCAGTTCAAATGTCTGTCTGGACGCTATGATAGGCCTTGTCACTTCGATAGTTATAGCGCTGCACATTCTCAGATTCAAAATACACATGATTAAGGTTCATTTCTATTGCCACAAGAGTTCTTGAAAAACCCTGAATGATTGTTATTCATTATTTTTACATATGTGCAGGATTGTCTCTAGAATATCTGGCTGTGATGGTGCTAAGAAAAATAGTTCAATGCCAAAAAAGAGAAGCCCCGAGTAATGCTACTGGGGAAAATGTTTTGTGAAATGATCAAGAGAGCCACCAGACGTCCCAAGAATATGGCTGAGCTGAAGCAGTTCAGTAAAGAAAAATGGTCCCAAATTGCTCCTCAGTGTTGTGCAGGCCAGATCTGCAGCTATAGAAGGCACTTGTTTGAGGTTATTGCTGACAAAGGAGAGAGAGTTTTCCTACTTTTTCCAAAAGCACTGTGACTGTTTAATAGGTATGCTCTGTAACGACACAGGATATAATTATTTCTGTGTTTTTTTGCTTAAAGACATTGTGGTTATCTGTACTTGTGACTTATGTGATGATTAGATCACATTTTATGGGTTCACATACTGTTTTTAAACCACTGTTTTCTTTCCCTGTGAAAGAATGGTGCTCCACTCACAGTCATACAGAGCCAGCCACCTAATGGTGGATGTTTTTCATTGTCATTGTTTCATATCCCTCACAGAGATTTATTGTAAATCCTCTTAAAGAATAAGGCATTCTGTCCTCGGCTGTTAAAGGGTATGATGGTTAGTTAGCCTGGACTGCAGTCTAGATCTGCCCAGCCGATGGACAGTTTTGTAGCTGTGGAGGGGCACTCAGAGCACTCGTTGGGCTGGACCGGTTGGTTGAGTGCTTATTAATATGTTGGTGCTAGTTACTCCCAGTTGCCACACTCTGCACTTTTTAGATGCCAGCCTCATTTAAAGCTCTTAAGCTAGTATCTTGTGGTCAAATAGATCTCACCTAGACTAAATGGCAGTAAAGGGGGCATCTGGCCTAAATGGTCATACAAAGCCAGTGGCTTGTAAAAACACAGTGTGCTTCAAAAGCCAATCCCTAATCAAATGTTTCTTTTATACTGTGTATAGTACTTGGATTAGAGCCCAACAGTTGTAGCAAAATGATGAACATTACTGTCCAATTTTAGCTTGCATCAGATTTTTCATTATTATTCCATGTATTGTCTGTTAAAAAACAAGTCATTGTTGACAAAAATCCCAGAGATAAGCCTGAGGCCCTTTAAAAGCTGTTGCCATTACAGCTTGTCCACTAGAGGGCACCAGTAAGTATTTTCAACAGTAAAAAGGTCACAGTTCTGTAATAACAGGATCATTATTATGTGTCCATGCTAATAAAATGAATACTGGCTGGTATATTGTCAACAGTTCTTTAAAACTCCATCATTAATATCTGTCTCAACAATTCTGTTGTTTCTTAGGCACCGGCTTCGGTATGTTTATGCCCTCTGCACTCTCTGGCAGTATGGTGTGCTTGTTTGTCATACTTTCATTTTTAATAATCTGTAGTTTTTTCTCTCTTTCTTCTGCCACATTGATAGCTGAGAATCACTGTCTGGTCCCTGTGCACCAAAGCTGTGTCTTATATCAAATATCCCAAAGCATGTCAGAAGGGTGAGTAATAAGCATCATATTGTCTTATTTATTTTCTCATGGTTTGAGTGTATGCGAATTACAAGGAGTATGTGAGGACAGGGCGATCAGTCTGAGTGTCTCAGCATGTCCCACAAATCACATGCTGTTCTTTACCTTGGGATGTGACCCTGGCTATGCGGCCAAAGTATGGTCCTCTCTGCTGACAGCTGGTGCCCTCTTCAGTAAATGGTGCATGCTCTTCATAACAGGCCTGTCAGCAGCTAAGGGAAAAATGATGGTCCACGACACTCCCCATTTTCTGCATATGATACTACACCCTTTTGTTATCTGTGTATTCTCATAGCCATAATATAATAGTATATAATAATAGTTGCATACCACCAATTCAACGGTGCCAAAGTATTAGGTTATTTATGTTGGATAAAATAGACAAGAAACCATGAGGTTACTTACTCAGTTGTCAGACTGTATAATTTCCTTTTTTAATAGCCAACCATAGTGTGTTTTGTTCTGCTGGAAAAAAGAAAAGAAAATGGTATTGGGTTTAGTCCTTGCTGCTGAGAAATCACATTTTGAGTGTTTAATAAAGTGGTCACTGATTGCTTGATATCTGCTTCACAAAGACTTTTTAAATGAAAGTATTAAACCTTACTAACATGTCTTGGTAGGCTGCTATGTATTTTTTAAGAGTTCAAGTTGACTGTTGCAGTGTTGTTGTCTATGAAGGATCTTTTTCATACATGTGATTATATTCCACATCTGGTAGCTGCCTATAAAATGATAGCTTTCACCTACAGGTACAGATTTCAGCAGAGATGGCTGCTATATGGCTTTGGCCGAACGCCGAGACTGCAAAGATTATGTTAGTGTGTTTGTGTGTGACGACTGGCATTTACTCAGGGTAAGTAGGATATTAGCATTTTTCTTTATAGTTAGCATTTGAATAAACTAAGTAAGCAACAGTGGAACAGACCTAAATAATATACATATTTTTGGTAAATATGTAGCATAATTAAATTTTTAATGTAATTTAACTTTCACAGCATTTTGAGACTGAGACACAGGACCTGGCCGGGTTGGAGTGGTCTCCCAATGGCTGTGTGCTAGCAGTGTGGGATAGCTGTCTGGAGGTGAGTCAGTCACCGCACAGACCCGAGACTCAACAAAAGAAGATTGATTAATCATTCTGACAACTTTTCTGAAGAGGTACTTGATGTTTCTGGCTCACTGTGTAAAGGTGTTAGATTAAAAACAGTGTACAGAGACTGCACTTCCACAACCAAGGCCCAGCAATAAAGTAGAGAACATTTTATATTGATTGTTTGAGACCTGTTTGGAACATCTTTTGATATCAGATTATATGTTTGAAGTGAGTGCACAAGTGAAGTGTCCTGTTTATTTTACAAAGCCTCTGGTTTGATGGAAAATCGTAATGCACGATAACCTAAAGCTCCCAGTATGATGTATCGGAGTTAAGCTGAAGGGATCCCTTATTGTTTTATTATTGTTGTTATTATTAAGGAATCCCTTATTGCTTAGGCCACATTCAAATGAGATCACATTATATGGGGAGAATGGGAATAAAATATTTATTGTGCTTCATTGTAATTGTGTTAGGGTTGAAAATTGACCCTTAAACATGCTCCAGTTGGGAATAAAATCATTGACCATCTTAGGTAATGCTAAAATAACCCTGCCTCTGCTAGAGAAATGAATCCAATCTGAATTGGCCTTAAGTTCTGCAATATTCCAGTTGACCAAGTCTAGTGGGGATGAATATAAACAAGATGAATGATAGCACTGTTGTTTCATGTACCCTTTCCACTTAGTACAAGGTGTTGCTGTATTCTTTGGATGGCCGCTTGCTGTCAACATACAGTGCCTATGAGTGGTCATTGGGTGTCAAGTCGGTGACCTGGAGCCCCAGCAGTCAGTTCCTGGCCATTGGCAGCTATGATGAAAAAGTATGGACAATTTCGTTATTGATGGCTGATGACAATGGGAAATAAGATATCTCATTATAAGTTGATGCAAAATGGATATTGTTGTAAAGCCATGTGCCTTAAAGGTGTACTCCACTGATGTAGCATTGCACTTCTCTACCAATGTCGAACTCACAATGGACAGTTGGTAAAATAGTATTAAAATTGTTGCAGCAGAGATATACTTCATTCTTATTGTATACATGCTTTTTCCTTGTCAAAACCTGAAGCCTCCTTTACCCTCTGAGGAGATTTGGGTGTGTTATGCTTATAGAAACTAAAGTAGCCTCAAATAGATATGAAGAACAGGCTAAAGAGTTTTAATATCACTCCCTTTTAACCCCAGACCCCCAGTGTTTTTTTTTTTAAATTCATTTTCAAACTTCTAGTCTTCAATCTCAACAAACAGACTTAAGTGACATCACTTGAGCCATTTTCATACAGCTCTTTCTGGAACCACAACAGGCTTCATACAACCTTTTTCACACATGTAGTATTCTCCAAGATTTGTAAACTGAGTGTGATTTGAAAAGTCAGTGGAGTTCCCCTTAAATAAATGAATTCATTTCTGCAAATAAATAGTAGTATTAAGTAGTAGTAAACTTGATTGTTAGACATTCAGTGAATATCAGTTCAGAGTAAATGACAAGACTTAATACCCTTAGGTGCGCATCCTCAATCATATTACATGGAAGAAAATTGCACAGTTTGACCACCCAGCAACCATCAACAACGCAAAAGCTGTGAGTATTTTCCAGAATTCACTATGAGCCTTGAAGATATTGCATTTGAATTATTGACTATTGGTTGTGTTTCTAGGTTGTATATAAGGAAGTGGAGAGAAGGACAGCTGTTGGCAGTGATGACCTGTCGCTACATAACATCACAATAGGCACCACCCTGTTCAACACCCAGAGCAAATGTATGTGCCATTTTTCATTATTTATTCTAAAAGCAGTATTTGTCTAAAACTTCAAGTAACCCAACTTTGTCTAATCACAAACTCTTAATTTGTTTTTGCCTCATCCAGATGAGATCTGCCCACTGCCAGTCCAAATTCCTGTGGTAAAACCAGACCCAGATCGAGCCAACCCGAAGATTGGTGTCTCTACTTTAGCATTCAGCTCAGACAGTCGCTATCTAGCCACCAAAAATGGTAAGACTCCAAAGCTGTTCACTCTACCTTTGTATGTATGTATATAATATGGGAAATTATATGTATTAATAGTTCCCACATTTTTGGTCATAAATAACAGTTTTTGTTTTTACTTACTTTTGCTACAATGCTTGTGTTTTGGGGCTCTGTAGGCAGAGAGTGGTTTTGAATGTGTGTCTGTGTTTCTCTGACTGCAGACAACATGGCCAGTGTTGTCTGGATATGGGACATGCAGAAGATGAACCTGGAGGCTGTGCTGGAGCAGACCTCAGCTGTGCGCTGCTTTCAGTGGGATCCCCGGCGCCCCCGGCTGGCCCTGTGTACAGCCAACACTAAACTCTATCTCTGGTCTCCAGCAGGCTGTGTTTCTGTCCAAGTCCCCACTGAAGGTAACATGCTCGATCACTGAGAACTGAAACTAGAATACACATCTCCGTTATACTGCTGTCAGATGTAGGTGGGGGGCAGTGCTCTCTAATGTCCTTCTTATCAGGTTTATTGTACCTGCACAAGGCAACATCTACTTGTTGGCAGCAAGAGGTCACTGTTACAGCGTTAAACACTTTTTGACCCTGAAGTCCTGTTATATGTCATTATGTTGATTCCAGTGACATGCTTGCTACTATTTCTTGTGTTACTCTTCAATCTCTCATTCTTGTGCAGGGTGAAGAGTAATCCTACCCATTGTCAGATTTTATTTCATTCATTCAACCTTTATTTACACACCATGGTGCTGCAATGTATTTACTGAGATAAAAACCAAGCTGATCTCAAAGATCTACATATACTTCACTCAGATTGAGTCAGTAGTAGTCAGTGAAAATTTTGAAGTCTGTCAGACATCAGGAGATTCAACTCTCTTCAGCTGCTGAAAAAGGATACAAGGTTACATTTGCTGTTTTTAATTTGCAAATAGAACAAATGTCTTATCTCAGTTTATACATATACAGTAAGATGCTTATCTCTCTCGCTGCCTGTATCCTTAAAGGTTGATGTGTTTTACTCAGAAACCCCACAGAAAATTGAACTTATCATTGCATGAAGTTAAAATCAATGTGACACTTTATGGATTACAAATTTAAAGAATGTGAGTGTTGATTCTTTGGATGTACAATAACTTTGTTTCATCATCTTCATTTTGTTTAACCTTAGATGTGTTGTCATTACAGTTGCATCTTTGTCTCCTGCCAGGTGGTTTCCAGGTCCAATCGCTATCGTGGCACGGCAGTGGAGACTCTCTGATCCTGCTTGGAAAGGAACAGCTGTGTTTGTGCTTCATGGACACTGACCAGGAGGACAAGTAAAACACACAGCATAGCTCTCATAAAATAACTGGACCACATTTCAGGCTTATTTAGCCACACACACTTTGCTGTGAATGTGTTACGGTGATGGCCAAAAGACTGGTGGGAACACTCCTCTAAATCTCACTTTTTACTTTTCTAAAAGTCTGTTTTGGATAAGTAAATACATCGTTCCTAGTTTTTAAATAAGTAAATGCATACTGAAGCACTAGTTCCAAACACTGTGAAGATAGAGGTTTACAGATTTTTATAGATTTCACTGTTTAGTACACACTATTTTGTATGTGTATCACCATTAAATTGTGTAACTTTTGAATAAATGTTTCCATAAATAATGCAGCTTAAGGTGAGTTACTAAAATTTGTGCATCTAAATGTTTCAGTTTAGAAACCTTACTCAGCTCCATGTAACATGCAGAAAAAAAAGTAGACGAGGTATTCAATAATTAATTAATCTTGACCAAAGGTGCAGTTGCCAATGCTTGTGTTTGTGGTGCTGGTGTCTTCTTGGTGGAAGAAAGACATGAGGCGTGTAATTTTAAAATGGTTCTTCATGAGACCAGTGACATTATCTTTACTGTTAGAATTTAATTGTTGTTACCTACTATGACCAAAGTGAAATGCAGTAAGAATCCAAACAACAAATTAACAGCCAGTATTAAATATATTAGGACTGTTTTACTTGGCCTCAAGGCACTGTCTCTCTGTAAGTTGTCCCATTTACAGGAGTATATGGAAACTAATCACTTTGTTACAGGCCTTGACAGAACAAATGTAATGTAAATTCACTTTTTTTTTTCAACAACTAGAGCTGAGGCCATAACAACATATAAAGGCATTAAATATTATTCATTGTGACCACTGTGCTACAAATATCTACAACAAAAAGTAAAGCCTTCATGTATTTATAATCATGAGTCCACTTCTTTTAAATCCCTTAATAAAATACTTTAAACCCGGCAATGAAATATTCATTTTTTTAGAAGCATTCATGAGTTAACTGCTTGAAAAAAATAACCGCAGACAAATAAACCTAATTGGAAATTACAAATCTGTTCAAATAAAAATATCTCCATGCAAACTCAACATGCAGGGAACATGCTCAAATTAAGATTAGAGAAGGGCATTTTGGGATATAATTACTCATTTACATTGAACATATGGCCTGTTACCACTGGTAGCGCAATGATGTATGATAGGGTGCAAATCTGTGAGGAAAAAGCACCTAAATCCAATTCACAAGATACAGACGGTATGTGGTTAGTTAACTGGTGTAAAGCTATAACAAAGGGAAGTTGCAGAACCATGACGGCAACTTGGAAAGAAACATGGACACAACCTTGCAAAGTTGTGTTGCATAAACCATCTTTAACATACTAGACCATTTTAGCTATAGCAGCTAATGCAGTTCTCCAAGTTGTACAGCAGTTCCCTATTCTCAGCAAATTACATGGCAGGGAAAGCACAGCATTTGCCAATAAGAGAGGAAGGTCACATGTAATTGATCCTTTCAGCTGAACATGTTTCATGAATGCTGGAAGTGTATCCCAGCTGTTACTGGCCACAAGCAACACTGCTGAGCCCAGTACTTTTTAGTGTAGTAGTTGTATTAAAATGAGCGTGTGACATGACCGTTTAACTCAGTACATCAGCTGCTGTTCCATTCTAAGAAGCTTCCCTGTGATCTCAGTGATTCAGTCCTTCATTTCAAACCATATTCATGTAGCCAACAGGGAACATATTCTTGGCTGCCGTTAACTGCTTTACTCTGTGGCCTTGTTTTTTTCTGTAGAAATAAAGCCCATAAAAAGCTAATCATTAACCCTCAAATAAGTTTTGTGATTTCAACATACCTTTCCTAAAAGATATCACATTAGTTTTCAGTCGGTGGTTAAACAAGGAGGCCAAGACCACAAAAAGCTCAATCTGGAATAGGTTCAGAGGTGATGAACTGATGCATGTGGTGTCTCCTTTCTCTCCAACTTATCTCACATGGGCATACGCTCCTTAGGTCCCATGCGGGTACAGAAGACCTGCGAGCAGCTCTTTGACAGAAAAGGACTGAGGGTGCTAAAAACAAACGAGTAGACAATCCATGCAGCGCTATGCATCATTTATCTACAGGAAGCTGCCCAATGTCTGCGACACCAACCTAAAGAGGTGTGAACAGCTCATGGGCTCTAATAACACATACAGACTGGTTGCGCATTACACTGTACTGGAGTGACTGCTTCTCTCACCCAGCACAGTGTAACAGACACATGAGTTGAACTCTATTGTAGCTTGGAGAAACTGGGTTAGAAGCCGATCTTGCCACGGGTCATGGAATAACCCAACTTGGCCTCATTGTTGATGAAGGACATAATGCCCAGGTAGGTCTCGATGAGCAGGGGTCTTTCCAGGATCAGGACACCATTAGCCCGACCAGGGATGGGGTGCTCCTTATGGGCTTTCTTCACTGCCTGCACCAGCTGGGTCCTGAAGTTGTCCAACTTGCCAAAGTAAAACAAAACATGAGACTAGAACATCCCTCTTTTTTTTTTTTTTTAGTTACATATCTATATAAATTTAGAATGAAAGCAATATCTCCTGCATCTGCTCTTTAGTGTAGATTAATGGACATGATTGAGATTTTACAGTCAAATGAGGTTCATTTATTGCACATGTAGTAATGCTAATGCCTCAGAGAATGTAGCCATATCCCTAGAAAACTGCCTCAAGGCCTGATGTTGCCTTGCCAATAAGTAAAAAAAAAAAAACAAATAGCATTGAAAATTCCTGTTCATACAAAATTGTGGCCACGCTGATTTAAGTTGTATAAATAAACAATAGTTCTCTCAGGGGATGAACTGTGCCTTTAAGACTACACTCAGTCTGTTTTCAGTTGGACTTGGACCCCTAGAGCTGTTTTTGCTGCCTTGTGTGCATTAATGAGCTGCTGTACCAGCACTCACCATTGTTTGTTTTATAAAATAAGGCCAGCACAGTAAAATACCTTACATTTCAAACTTTGAACCCTCAGATGTTTTCAAACTGTCAAATTGATCATTTAGATGAATGACTAAAAATGCATTGTTGTTATTTATTTAAAGGGATTATACCTGGCAGAGAGAGGCCACCTTCTCATCAGCATGCGCCATGGGATGCTCTGTGAAGGTGGCGTAGGGCATGTCTGTGGACCAGGGGTTCCAGCGGTTAAAGAATGAGGCCCGAGGACGTTTGTCCCACTGCACACGTATCCCGTAGCCCTCTCTCCTGTAAGTAAACAGTGGTGTAAGAGCAGTTAAGGACCGGTCAGCTACATGGACCAGCAGTGCACCAAGGCACTGCCACCAAGCTGAGCCCTATATGTTTAGATGGGATGCCCATTTTTGAATCGGAAAACAAAACTCTCTTTTTGAGACTTTTTTCTTAACACTAGCATTAATATTCTTAGAGTAAATACTAATTTGACTAAAATGTGCTGGCATACTTGTTTAAGGATTTGGGTGGGAACTCAAAGTCACCCACTGAGATGGTGTCTACAGCATTGAGAGCTATCCTGACGACCTGCTGACACAGCAGGTTGATGAAGTCGTACTTGCACACCAGCAGTGACCTGCACACACAACCAAAATATCATTTGTTATGCGGTATATTTCCTCAAACCTGGGACTCAACAAAACAACTTTTTGACTTACCTATCAGTTATAAGCACAAGTCTCTCCTTCTCATTGTTCCAGTGGTCAATTCTGTAGAAGCGCCACACAAAATTGACAAATATGACTTTATAAAAATAGCACAACATAAAATCTTGCCTAAAATATGTTGTTTTACTGAGTTGCATAGTTATTTATAAGTTATATAAAGTAACTATAGGATTATCTTTGGTACCCTTTTATTCACGTGTAACAAACTGTATGAATAACGAGTATAAACCAGATTTTAAAAAACAAACATGTCAAACATTTAGTCTGGAATCTTAATACATAGAAAATGTCTAAGTATATTTGTAGATTAAACATTGCATGTCACACAACAGCTCATCCAGACAGATGCCTCCTGATTTAGGCTGGTAATAAACCAGTTCCACGTTACTGGGATACTTACTCAGCCAGTAGCCAGACACTGAGCACCTCCCCGTCCTCAGAAGGGAGTGCCACAGTCCTGATGTCACTCACGGCCTGCTCAATGGTACCTGGCTGAGATCAGCATCACACAGCTGTCAGTCGTCAGTATCTCAGACTATCCCACTCTTAATAATATGCTAATAACTACTATTGCGTGCTAAGTATTAGTGGTCGCGTTCACCTACCAAAAAGACTTCCAAGTTAAGCGCATCAGATAATGAAAATGTTATGATTTACAGGCAGTTAAACCTACATCATCTAAGAAGTCGATTAACGCAAGCAGTTAAATGTTAGGAGCAACTTACCCTGAACACAAAATAGTCCTTCACCTTCGCTTGCACTGTGGGGTTATGCACATGAAAAGGCGTCAGCGTTTGTAACGGGGGGCAACAGGCCACGGAGGCTCCGTGTCCGAGGCTTCGTCCGGCCTCCGGCGGCGTGAAGGCAACCTCGACTCCCTCCTCGGCTTCTGCAGGGTGGAGCACCGCAGCGCCAGGACTCTCCGGCTCCACCGTGTCGTTCAGACGAAGCATGGTGCGTTAAACGCCCTGTGTGGAGCTTCCAGCTAATGTGCGCCAACTGTTAGATGAGAAAATGGCTTTTAGAGGATGCAGACTCACCCATAACGAATAATGTTTTGATTGTGAGGGCTTCTAGGAAGTAGTGCTGTGTTGCCTCACTTCCCCCCTTAATGTCATTCCTCTTAAAGGGGCCGAATGTGTTTATGAAAACGTGGGGCTGTTTTTTAAACTAATTATGAATCCTATGATACTGTACCTGTGTCGGGTGTGTGTGTGTGTGTGTGTGTGTGTGTGTGTGTGTGTGTGTGTGTGTGTGTGTGTGAGAGAGAGAGAGAGAGAGACTGTAAGCTTTATCAAAAAGGAACGTTTGAAGCCTAATCTTGAAGGTCAAACCGGGAGCTGGTTCCATAGGAGAGGAGCTTGATAACTAAAGGCTCTGCTTCTCATTCTACATCTACAGACTCTAGGTACCACAATTAAACCTGCACTCTGAGAGCAAAGTGCTCTGTTTGATAATGTGGCACTATGATGTCTTTAAGATGTGATAGAGCTTTGTCATGAGCTATCAACGGTAGGAGAAGGATTTTAAATTCTGTTCTGGAGAGATGTGATCTCTCTTGCTAGTTCCTGTCAGTATTATTGGGGCCTCCTGAAAGTAAAGGTTTATAGTAGTCCAGCCTGGAAGTAACAAATGCATGGACCAGTTTTTCAGCATAATAAGAGAGGTTGTTCTTGATGTTGGTGATATTGCGCAGGTGAAAGAAGGCAGCTCTAGAGACTTGGTTTATATGTGATTTAAAGGACATAGCCTGGTCAAAATGACTCCAAGGTTCCTCACAGCAGTACTGGAGGCCAGAGCTACAGTATGTCAGCTAGTGTAACTATAGGGTTAGATAACATATTTCTAAGGTTTTCAGGCCCAAGTACAATAACTCCAGTTTTGTCAGAATTTAGGATCTCCTTGAATGGTCATATTCTCGTGTGTGTGTGTGTGTGTGTGTGTGTGTGTGTGTGTGTGTGTGTGTTCATGTGAGCTTGCCTGACATCCACTGGTGCCATTTTTTGACTGTGCCTAGTTTTGTGGATATATCTTGCCTCCTGCTGCAGCTGTGACCAGAGGATGTGGAGTAAAGTACAGGGCCTGAGGTTACTGCATGTCTGGGAATGTTCCTATACGGGGACTCGCTGTTTTACCTGACCAGGACTAACCTACAAGTAGCCGGCCAGTGAAGCCCCCTCCAGCTTCACTGTGGTGTGGTGTTTTTTTTGTTTTAAATATCCAGTTGTTCAGTGTTGTAAGTAATTATAATGTAGTTTAAACTCACTTCTATGTATAACTACAATGTTCCTGTAATATTTATTTCTGGCTGTTGGTTCACATGCTATAGGAATTAGCTTTTGGTTTTGGGAGATAGCAGCGTTAATGTGAGGTTATGGTGAAAATCAAATGAACTGCCGAGGTAACTGCTGTTGCCTGCCAGTGGATGAGTTTGTAATGTTGTGAGGTTGCTCTTCAGAGATCAGACTTTATTGCAATATTTGATTAATTGAAGAAGCAAAGAACAGCAAATGCTCTTTACTACTGCTCTTTGGGTTCTCCTCATAGCAACTTGAGGAAGGTCACTACTGGTGTATCTGACTGTACCATTAATGTTTGAACAGGCAGAGATAATGTTTTGTTTATTAACCCTGCAGTGGCCAAGGACTTGCTCCTTTTATAACAAGTTGTTCAATGATTACAATATTCAACTTTGACAATGGAGATACCAATGTTTTTTTCCACTGTTGCTGCTGGTCTGCTCACTCTCCAGGGCTCATCTTCAGAGTCAAGATGGAAAACAAACCGAATCCCAAGAAATGGACCCAGTAAGTACCTCTGAACACCATCCGCCCTGTACGTCCAAGCGGCCCTGAGAGAGGTGAGCGCCTTCTTGGCTGAACAGAGGGTGGAGATGTGGCACTCACACAGGGAGAACACAAATGTGCAGTCACATTGTCACTTTTTTTTTTCAGCATAGTCAGGAGAACAGAATGAAATCAAATATCACAGAAACCTAGGTGGAAAACACCCAACAAGTTCACTAATGTTTAGAAGACAATGTTTGACACAAACTTGTTTGTTGTAGTGGAGAAACCTTTTTAGATACGTACTGAGTATTGAGTGTTTCTGCCACGTCTGTGTGAGATGGAGCCTCCATTTAGATTGAAGTCCAGACAAACCATCAGCTGCCAGTCTTCATTAATGAACAGACCGAAAAGCCTTTTGTTTAAATTACCACCATATTAAAAATATCAGCAGGTTTTGATGGTGGAAGCAATGCCAGGATTTAATGACATCAAAACTATCACTAAGTTAACTTCATGTTAAAGAATGGCGTCCTGTTAACAATGGAGAGATGTTCATGACTAAATCTAGTTTAGGGTCTTTGAGTATCCAGAAATGAAGACTAACTGGAGGATGACTTGTATAAAGATGCAAGTAATGGAATCTTGTAACTTTTTTATATTTTTAAGTTAAACGAGGGAGACCACACATGTGAAGTTAATTCACTGCCCAGTGCCTATAACTGTTATGTTGTGTAGAAAATACTAAACACAGACAGATGTGATCTTCAAATGAAGACTTTTCATTTTCATTGTAAAACTTTTTTTATCACACATATTTGTGGCACACTTGTCTTATTCTCCTCCTGTTCTACATTCAAGGTGGCAGTGGCCAAAGGATCCTGTCTCTGTTGGCTACACAAACAAGATGATCACCAACAATGGGAAACACATGCTTTACATTTTCCCTCTTCAAGAACAAATTGACACTACACCCCTTCTCTATTAAGATGTGGATGGGTAAGTTCACCAGAACAATAGAAACAGTGGTATAATTTCATACATGGATTTGTACAAAATCTTCAGAGATGCTCTGGGTGGGCATTTTTATTAGGATGCAGCGTATGGCATGGTGGTTTATTGTATTGTTGTATGAAGGATGTCTTTGTTGTTCATGAATAAAGGTAGCGGTACAGTGAAAGGTAGGCGACACTAATCTCAGGTGAGAGATGGATTCACTAGCTTTTGTAGCACTTTTAATTACCATTACAGGTTTTCTCATTGTTGGCTTTATAGTAAATGTGGAATATAGACCTACTGAGCTGCTAAGATTTTCCTGTATCATTTTGTCAAAGTAGAATTAACCATACTTTGCATAGATGACACACACAATATTTGTGTATTTGTTAGTTCCCCCAACTGTTCTGTTTGTGGCCACCACTATTGTTTTATGAAAGGCAAGTAACTGTAAAACTGAAACAATGTATTTAACACTTTCCATATATATTACACACAGTGCACCTGAAGACCTGCTGAGTACATCAACTCCAGAACTTGGAGGCACGTGGCCCAGTGAAGAAGACAACTCAAAACGTCGTGGGCTCACACTACAAACCTCCAGACAACAATTCAGATAGTAAGTAAATTGTTCAGACCATTGTGAAATCTGCTGCATTCAATTCTTGCTGTGGATAGTTTTTTTTAAGTGAAATTTAACATTCATTCAATTTAGTATTGCTTAAATGTGGAACCTTTTACAAGAGTGGTGCTTTGCAACTGCAGATTAGTTTAAATCACTGCTAAAGATCAAATTTGCATGGCCTGTTTTAATAAATTGAGGGTTACCAGAAGTGACTGTTCCTTATAGACTTGATGGCGATGAACCCAGAGGGCCAACATCAGCAGTACAGCCTTTTCTTGGGACTTTCTACCAGTAATTCAGAGACGGCTATTATTTCAGCATGTGGTGAGATGACCTTGTATTTCAAGTTCAACCTTGATTTTGTCTAAACAATTTTGACTTGGAACTTTGCAGTGTCCATTCTGCATATGAACAGATGTTCACTGCCCAGGTACAAACGTGTTCACTAACCTGGGCCCGATTGCTGGCCGGGATTGGCTCCGCCCCCCCGTGACCCCGTTCAGGGACTAAGCGGTAGAAAATGAATGAATGAATGTTTCATAAATTAAGGGTAAACAAAAGTTAATGTTCCTTATAGGCTTGATGACGATGAACCCATCTGACCAGCAGAGGGTTGAAATCAGCAGCCTGGCCTTTTCTTGGGACTTGCCACCAGCAATTCAGAGACAGCTATTATTTCATCATGTGGTGAGATGACTTCTTATATTTGTTTTTTTTTTTATGTCTAAATAGATGATGTTGACTTGGAACGTTGCAGTGTCCATTCTGCATATATGAAAGGATATTCACTGCCCAGGTACAAATGTGCTGCTAAAAGGCTTTTGCTCAAAATGAAGCAAACCTATCAAAATCATGTGATGGGTTGAAATTATAGAGCATATCATGCTTTAAGCTTTTTCCATTTCCCCCTTACCAGTCATTCTGTGGCCAGCAGTGTTTTAGAGGACATGCATAAAGAGAGGCAAGTTTGTTTATAAATGGACCATTTATTATTGAAATCAAAGCTTTACAAAACTTTTTTTTTTTTTTTTGCAGCCACTCCATCCCAGCTTAGCCAGCTGCTGAAGTTTTGGCTATGATGGGGTCATCAAGGCAGAGTACCTCGCATCCGCTCCCTGCTGTTACACTGCATGTGCCTGGACCACAGTTACCTCAGTGTCCTCATGAGCAGTGGTCCCCAACCCCCGGGCCGCGGACCGGTACCGGTCCGTGGATCAATTGGTACCGGGCCGCACAAGAAATCATTAATTATTTCCATTTTATTTATTATCTGAGTCTGAACGATCTTTTATTTTGAAAAATGAGCGCATTCTCTCAGTTACACTGTCTTCAAGTTGGCAGATAAAGTAGCTGCATTTAAAGCCAAACTGGATTTGTGGGGACGGTGCGTCAACAGAGGCATTTTGGACACGTTTCAAACATTAGCGGGGATTTTGGGTGAGACTGAGCCTGAGCCTTCATTCTCCCAGCTGGTGCACGATCACCTGTCTTTGCTTTTAAAAGAGTTCGAGCGCTACTTCCCAACCACAAAGGACCCACGAACTGCCAAGGAATGGATCCGCAACCCATTTGTCAACAAACCAGGTGAATCCAGCAGGTCTGTGCAACAAGAAGATCAACTGCTGGAGATCGCAAATGACGGCGGCCTTAAAAGTATGTTCGAGACAACAACTCTGTCGGTGTTCTGGATTAAAGTCATGACAGAATACCCTGAGATCGCCACCACAGCACTGAAACGAGTGCTAGGGCTCAGGGGTCCCATTGATTTAGCGTTATGGGGAGTTAAAAATTTCAACACACGTGACGTGAATTATAAAATATTATATTATTTTTTACCGTGCCCCCTCCCCCCCCGGGCTGCGGTAAAGAATTGTCAAGCGTTGACCGGTCCACAGTGATTAAAAAGGTTGGGGACCACTGCTCATGAGGGTTGAAGGGACAGAGTCTTCCCATTTTCCACAGCTGTGTCCTGTTCAGAGTGAAAGGTTCCATCCCTCATTGTCAAGATCATCTTGGATTGGAGGCATGCTGTGGGGGGAAACAAAGATAAAGTAGACCAAGTTATTTTGTTCTGTAAACCTTTGGTCCACATTAACACAAAGGGGGAAAAAAAAGTGTGGATGACATTCTACTGAAGGATGCAAACCAATTAAGGGAGAACTGCTCACTTTAAGATGTTCTTTTGTTGGACACTTCTCTTTGAAGCTTCCCTTAGCACAATCCCGGGTCCACTGTCCCCATTCACTCTTGGAGATGCACTGAAACCAAGATGTGCAGTGTGTCAGTATTAAAGATAATCTTAAATTATATAAGGTTGACTGTAGTAACGTTGTCAGTTTTGAAATTGCCCATAACCCTATAAAACCATTTGTATTTGCTACATGAGTTTCTGAGCAAAAAAAAAATTTTTTTACCAAAAATGCCCCATATGTCAAATGTGATAGAAAAAACAAATATGGCACATTTATTCCTATATGCATGGACTGTCTATGCATAAAATGGCAAATCTTGAATTTTCTTTTGGATTTTGTTAAAAGGTTTAATAAACATCAATTAGAATGTTCTGGCTATTTTTTGATGTCAGGCTTTATAGGGTTAGAATGACTGAAAACCCACATGCAGTCTGAAAAGCGGTTGTAACTACTACGATGAAGCCTAATTTGATATTTTAGAGAATTGTTTAATGTACTGCTATAAAATTGAACACTTATGTACACTAGTCACAAACATTTTAATTATCCGCATATTAAATGTTAATATCAAAACAAGACTGCGTAGAGTACCTGGATGGAAAGTCGGGTCTCTTTGCAGCTTCAAGGAAGAACTCCAGAGCCATGGATGCCTTTGTTTTTTGCCATTTGGAGAATCAGGATCTGTGACAATACATATAGAGTTAACTCAATCAGCTACTCAAAGTTGCTTACATCTATAGTGTTTACATGCTCAGTTGCAGATGTATAACTGCACACCCACTGCTGACTATTGCACATACAGCTTCGATGTAGCATATGTTATCTCTTGTGTTCTCACATTTTTTATATACTTATTTCTTTTCACTCGCTGTTTGAAGTGCCTTTAGATCTTTATGCCACTGTTTAACTACTTTATATTTCACTTGTTTGGCATTCAGTGTGGACGGCAAAGTAAGAATTTCATTGTGCAGGGAAATGCGTTTCCATACTGTGCATATGACAATTTGCACTTTGAATCTTAAATTAAAAGCTAATTCTATTTGCCAGCTGTACTATCAACTTGAGAGCAATGAAGATCTATGACTATGTTTGCCATAAACATTACAAATAGAACACTGGACGTTTTTACTAAAGCTTCATTATCATGCAGTAAGTGAAACTTGCACTACAGTTCATTCTGACCCTGTGTACAAACGTGGCCAATACAAATGAAGAGTGAACGCACTTATAAAGATGCCAATATGCACGCCTCATAGCTGCCGTCTTAAAACACCATATATCGAACTAGGAAGTTTGTCAGTGGAAAAAATGGGTCAGATTGGAACAAAGAACGAAATGTATGCATTTCCATTGTGTTCCAATGTTAGTTTTGAAAGTTTTCATTACAATTTATATCAAAGTCGCTCAAACACCTTTGAAATTAGTTTGTCAGCAAAAAAGAGCTGAGAAATTACAGTCTGACCTGAACTTATCAGTGCTAGTATAGTACACTCTCTCTCTCTCTCGCTCTCTCACACAACACCACAACCTTAGAATTGTTTCTCACCTCATCAACTTGCGGATGATGTCCATATGTAGGAGTGACAGGGGCCTGGAACGCTGTCGGTCCTCCTCACAACATGCCCAAGACTATTTACACTGTGCAAGTTCTTGTCCATGCATTCTGTGGCCTTTTGAAAGATACACGGGGGGGGGAGTTAGTCCTATGTCTGTCCTAGTTATAACAATTTACAATTACTCTGATCACAGAAAGACAGAAACCTATACAAACTAACACATTTCATAAAAATCATCAAGAATTCAGGAGAAGTCAACCGCCCTTACTAAATGCACATAAGATTCATTAAAGGGCTATTGCATTCTTTATTCAGCTTTCTCAGTATATGATGCACTTTGAAGCTAAACAGGAGTTTTAATGACAATTGGTTTCTCTAATTCATATTTCTATTTCTAATGCATTTATACTATTATTTATGCAACATTTTGAATGTAGCGCACTTACCTGTAACAGTGCATCTTGCTAAAAAGGTGGCGATCAGTTTTGACCTCACCGGGTTTTCATCAGGTTGGAAACATACAGGTGCAAACAATTTGTTACGTTTCCACCCTGATGAAACCAAACCGGCCGGCATTTTTTATTGAGATGCACGATTAATATAAAATGTAAAAGACATTTACATTAATGGGGCATGTAAAACTAGAGTTCTTTCATCTACAAGACTACACATCCAACAGGGAATAAGTTACAAGTCAACTCTAAGACCTGATGCAACTTTGCATTTATTCTTCTTCCTGCTCGACCACAGGTTGATTCTCCAACTAATGATGAACACAGCACAAGACTGAATTGCAGAAAAATGGGCAGTAGTTCAAGAGATGTGGAAATTTTTAACTTCTACACAGTGACTTTAAGATTCTGTCTTCCAGCTTGAAACCTTGTGAAAGATGGGATCAAGGGGGATATAGTACTGTCCAAAGATAAAGAGATATACATAGGAAATGACTGAGATGTACAAACCACAGCACAGGCTGACTGTAGATATTTGCTCAGCGGAGGAGAGGTCTGTTGGGTCCGTCAGGAACATGTTGACATCTCCCACTGTGCACTACTCCTCTTCTATACTGGGATCTGCCCATCACTACTTATCCAAGATGGTGAATGTGCACTCTGGCAAAAAAATAAAAGTCAAATTAAACAGCTTTTCTTTAAGTAAACATTGAATGATTTTACTAGTGCATGACCTCAGAAAGAATGATGTCTTATTTTCGTATCATATCCAATGATTACCAGTTCTTTATAAACACTTTAACCTAACAAATCTGATGGATGATTGTACGAATGTCTGGAAGGAATGATTTGGAAGCCACAAGGACAGAACTTGAAAGCAGTGTTGACCTCATAAAGCAAATGTCACTGAATCATATTTCATTTTATCTTATCATAAGTTGTATTAAATAAGCTTCTGTTATTTGGACAATGTCTTAGCTTATTTACGTAGACATTGTAAAAAGTAAAAGAAGTTCTCTCAGATTTATCTTTCCAGCCACAGCTGTATGATCGGTTCAACCAAAGATTTTTTTTTCTCTCTTTGTTTTATTTGGGTAGTTTTCAGAGAAATAAAGGTGTCCAGTTATTCACATGAATAAAATCTAAGGCTAAAGGCTAAGTCTGGCAAGCCTTCAGATTTCTAACAACTGCTTTAAAGGATGAATAAGAGCATGTTCTGCGTTTACATTTACTGCAGAAGAAGTCTTACTGTTACCATCTTCCCTCCAGCTCCACTGCATGTCGTACTCCTGTTCCAGGGTCGGTGGCTCTGAGGCGCTCAGATGCTGCAGCTCAGGACACTTCATCCATCCATTCATGATACCTGAAGAGTGTAAACAAGTGGATAAGACACAGGGACTGCAGGTTTCTAAAGCTTTAACTTAATCATGTATCCAGATGCCAAAGGACTGGAGCTGGTTCTGCTGTGCCAGTTAAAGAGACTTCAAACTGTCAAAGGATCAAAAGCTTGTAATGACAGCTGGGTCAGATGTGTCATCTGTCGCAAGTTATTTCTTCACCTTGTGCCAGCCTGGACAAAAAGCTTTCAAATGCTCCATGACAAATGAAACTGTATGATATGACCGAAAGCTGTAGAAAAACTACTAAATGGAACTTGTGATGAGATTGTTTTTTCAACATTATTATTAATTGCAGACTTATTTATGTAACTCAACTATACCCACTGTATAAGGTAAAGGCCCTGAGTTCAATTAGCTCACAATAACTGTAACTGACAAATCTTAAGTCTGTAATAAACCTCTCTCTACATTATGAGTCCTTAGGTCCTACAAGTACTGTACACAAGAACACAAGTTAGTTCAAGTTTCTTAATTTATTCAACAAAAAAAATCGGGGTAAACCATAAACAATAACAATCCCTTTTAAATATCGTGGACCCTTTTCTCTGTAAGACACACGTTTCAATGTTTCAGAATAAACACACAAATACAGTGGGCCCACACACTCACTCTACACCAGCCGGCATATACACTGAGATTTAACCCCCGTTGCAGGTCTGATGGACGCTCGGGTTCGGTGAGGCCAAAAATTAAAAAGCCGTTTCACTCATAAAAGTTAAATAAAAGACGGTACCTTACTTAGTAGTTCGTAGACCAAAAATTGAAGCGTTACCTCCTCCGTGTGTCCACAGAAATGGCAAAAGGGCGAAGTAGTCACAGGCCCACAGGTCCAGGTGCAAGCAGCAGCAGGAAAGTCCGGAGTAGCAGGCTCTGTTGAACGATCCAACTGGTCACTCGCGTAACACCGTCTTTGATAATGTCCATGAATTCCAGATCGGAAAGGATATATCCAGTCTTGGGAGTAAATCGGGTTAGCTATACAACCGATAGCAACATTCATTTAGCTAACGAAGGCTAACAGGTTAGCTAGGTGTGCTACGAGGCTAGACAACTCAGTGCAGAAGAATATCCAGTCATGTACTACAAACTATGTGGGACAATATCTTACAGCAGATCCTCGAGTTGACAATCTAAGATATAATCCACATAACATATTTCGCGTCTGCATAAACATTTTCATTTAATTTCTTCACAAAATTACCCCCTTCTCCCCGCTTCCTTTTTTTTTCTTCTTCTTCCTCCCTTTCCCTGAGTATCACTGCTTTCTTCTTCTGTTATTTAATGGCGGTTGGCAACCACCGTTAG